TGGACGGCGTAGATCATATGTTGTAAAATGCACTATTTCTGATACTTAAATTTTTTTATTTTTCATGGTCATACATCTCGATATCGAGATGATCAATCAAACGGTTTTTCAATGTTAAAACTACATTTTCCGATGGATTTTTGAGATGCATCTATAGTTATACATTATAAGGTTGCATCCTAATATAAACTTTTTCCTTGTTCATATAACGTGCCTTGTTTTAATAAAACGAGTAGGGGCCAGATATTCCCACTTATTCACCCAAAAAAACTAGGGGTGAGGTTCGTATAAGGTGTCAACCTTAAACAATTACGGCAAGGTACACCCCCAAATTTCGTTATAAAATGTATTTTAGGCAAGGAAACTCTTATGATCATCTTAAAATGTATTTTTTACCTTTATTATGAAATTGTTCGAAAAATATTGCAAATTTACCAAATCTATGAATACTTAACTATCTTGATTATGGTCGGCCTAGATAATGTGTTATAAGATGTACTATTGTTAGAACTTAAATTTCAATTCTAGTGTTATAAGATGTATTATTATTAATACTTGAAATTCAATTTTTCTTTCATATTTACATGTATCAAAGTGGAGATGATCAATTGGAAAGTTTTTTTGATGATCAAATAACCTTTTCCGGAGAGCTTTGAGGTGCACCTTGATTATACAGTATAAGATTAACACCTTATATAAAAAAATTTCAAAAAAAGAGTGGTTGTTGTGTCCGGGACGTATGCTTCCCACCATCAGACAGCCATAATTATGATGGGAGATCACAAAGAAGGCCCAATAAAATTCAAAAAGAGATAGTAGAAAAAAAATTCAAAATATTATTTTTTTATTTATAAAATTTATTTTTTTGCATATTTCTTATCATTAGGTTTTACTTTATGGATCTATGAATATTTTGATCCAAAATCTATGTTTAACATAAATCTTGGAGGACGAACTCGTATGAAGAGGTGAATCAGCCGACTCACCAAAACTGGATCATTTATTTAAGGAGAAGTGTTTCATGAGTTTGGGGACACATTCATCCCCTTGACAACAAATACCCATCTTTAAGATTGGAGATTATAAAGAAGGCTTGACTTAATTTTCAAAATAGATGGTGTAAAGAATTCAAAACATTATCATTTTTAAATTTTTAAATTTATTTGTTTATTTTTACATATTCATGATCCTCGTGTTTTAGATTATGGATCCGTAAAAATTTGGATCCAAACTCTATGTTTAACATGGAACTTGAAGGGGGGAGATAAAAATAGGTTAGCCAGCTCGCTCACCAAAACTGGATCCTTTATTTAATATTATTATGCCCCTTCTTATACAACTAACACTTTTCCTTAAAGAAAAGATCCACTTTTGGTGTGTCGTCACCTGTTCATGTGCGTCCTCCCTCCAAGATTCATGTTGAACATGGATTTTGGATCCCCATGACCCATCTCACCCTCTCTCCTCTTGAACACTCTACCAATCTTAAACGTGGGTGTTGTCTTTCTTGAATTTCATTATCTACACCGACTGCCTTATTAAGAAGCTCTTGAGCCGCCTTCAAATATTTTGATCCTGTAAAAAACCAGTGTAAATTCAATGGAAAACAGTCCACGGTCCCATATTTTAAGCTCTAAGAAACTCCCTAATTGTAATCTAGAGTGGGCTAGTATTGGCCTGAGATTGATCAATTGCTTGGATAAAGGTGAGTTCATTGCTTGAATGCCAAACCATTGCTTCTATCGGTGATGGATTGAAGTTCGGGGGGCGAGCAAATCAGAGCTTATGTCAAGTGAGTTTAGTAGTTTAAGTTAGGACTTGGCGTTGAGTTTCTAAAGCTTGCAGATGGTTTCTTGTGAAATGTGGGGGTTGTTGGTTTAAGTTTTTAGAGAGATTGGCACTAAATATTAATGGGTTTTGATTAACAGTATATGACCATCATGTTTCAGAGATTTGCAATGGGTTAGCCTCAGCATAGCTAACATATCCAGTGTTATGGCTTATGAAATATAGGGTTTGAAGATTATCAGTCTGTATCTCAATTCTGGTAGTAGGCATCGGTTGTTGATCTCTCTCTCACACACATTTCAATGAGAGAGTAGAGGACAATTCTACAGTCCTGCTTCATTCTCCGATGACAAACTCGTCTTCCTCAGAGCCATTTGCTTCAATGCCAGACCTCCCATATCTCCCTCTTCTAGAGAGATGCACATACATGAAGCATCTCAAGCAAATTCACGCTCACACCATTATAACAGGCTTTGCCCGCTTTTCTTTTGTAATTAGCAGAATAATGGCTTTCTGTGCAGTGTCGGATATGGGTGATGTAGGCTTTGCGAGGCTTATTTTCGATCAAATTGAGAAGCCCACCATCTTTAATTGGAACACCATGATCAGAGGCTACTCAAAAAGTAACAATCCTAAAATGGGTGTTCATTTCTATCTTCAAATGCTATCAGAAGGAGTTCTCCCCAACAAACATACCTTCCCTTTTGTGATTAGAGCTTGCACTGGTTTGGGATCTCTTTTTCTTGGTAAATCCATCCATATCCATATTGTGAAGCATGGTTTTGAAAGTGATTTATATGTGAATAGTGCTCTCATCAAGCTCTACTCTTCTTGTGGAGACATTGAATATGCTCGCCAGGTCTTCGATAGAATGTCCTTTAGGAATCTAGTGATTTACTCGAGCCTTGTTAGTGGGTATTGTGCTTGTGGGCATGTGGATGAAGCGCGAGAAGTTTTCAATGAAATGAGCGAGAGAAATGAGGTGGTTTGGAGCGCTATGATTTCGGGTTATGCCCAAAATGGATGCTTTCAAGAGGCTATTGATCTGTTTCATGAATTGAGGGAGACTGATATGGTGCCAACCAGAGCCACATTAGTAAGTGTGCTTTCATCATGTGCTGGCATTGGTGCTTTGGAGGAAGGGAAATGGGTTCACTCTTACGTGGACCGAAAGGGCTTCGGTTACGGGCTTGAACTTGGAACTGCTCTTGTAGATATGTACACGAAATGCGGATGTATTGAGAGTGCGTGTTTTGTTTTTGATGGGATGCATAAGAAAGATGTGTTGGCATGGAGTGCTATGATAGGGGGATTGGCTGCACATGGGCTTAGCATGCATGCCTTCGAGCTTTTTGCAAACATGGAGAGAAGTGGTGTGAAACCAAATGAAGTGACCTTTATTGGTATTCTTGGTGCTTGTAATCACAGTGGCTTGGTTGAACAAGGATGGTACTACTTTGATTTGATGAGAAGAGTCTACAAAATTTCACCCACAATTGAACACTACGGATGCATGATCGATCTCTTGGGTAGAGCAGGCCAATTCATCGATGCTGAGGAACTAATAGAAAGTATGCCCATGAAGCCTGATGGTGTGATATGGGGAGCTCTACTTGGTGCATGTATGATTCATGGAAACTCAGAGTTGGGTGAAAGGGTCGGGAAACACCTTATCGAACTGGAGCCAAAGCATAGCGGTAGGTATGTGCTATTGGGCAATTTATATGCTGCTGAGGGAAAGTGGGAGGGTGTGGTGGATATGAGGAAGATGATGAGGAAGAGAGGTGTAACAATCATTCCTGGCCATAGCTTCATTGAGATTTGTGGGATTGCCCATAGGTTTCTAGTGGATGATAAATCTCATCCTCAATCCAATGAGATTTACCAAATGTTGGATCAATTGACCAAAGAACTAATTTCACCAAGGTTTGAAAATCATAATGCACTAAGGATACATGAATCTCTTTCTATTTAGTTTCTTTTATATCCAGTAAACAATTACAAGTGAATTCATGAATTATTATATGATTAAGACTGACTGGATCATATTTATTTTGGACAAAAATTCAACCATATCAAAAAAGAAAAGAAAATAGAAGAGTATTATCAACTAAAGATTCATTACTTTGACAGATATATAAAGACCTATTGTCCTTTTGTATATTGAATAAAGTAATTTCCAAGATAATTTTAAAAAGGAAAATCAACAGTCTAACCTAACTGTACCTTCTCTAATTTGAATGACCATTTGGTCGACATAAATGTTTACCATAGCAGTAGTATGTATGATAAAAATTGGCCTATTTCCTTTTGAACATTATTTGCAGCAAAAAAACTGCACCACGAGAAAGGGCAACTTTTTTTAATAAAAGAACTTTGCAAAGCTCACCATTTATGACAATATGTTATAAAACAACATTAAGCAGGATTAATGCTTGATAACATTTTAAAAAAGCAGGATGGTGCTTAATCATGGAGTTATGAATGGTTAGCACGACCTCGATCATAAGTTACACGGTTGCGAATCTCGAAGGACATCTAAGATGCAACTTCAGTTAATAGATGTAATGTGCGACTACACATAAAAAGAGATCTTTTGGATGTGAAGGATTCACATGCAAATGCATTTGAATGTTGATCCATACAGTTGATTAAGCTCAACCTCAGTTGATGCAAGCTTAATTGTAGTTTAACCCCAGTGACCATATTTGATGGATGGTGGAGATGAATGCTATATCCATTTTGTATTTGAGGCCGTGGATACATAACTTTACTACTAGATATCCTTTATCAAGTTGGGAATCATTTGGTAGAAAAATTTCCTATAGGTGATGTCATATGAAAAAAAATTCAATTTTTTTTTAAAGAAGTGTTGTATGAAAGGTCAATTATTCCCCAAAAAATGACTATTCAAAATCCTACCGACATCTCAAGGTTGGCTATGGATCCTATGGCTGTGAAACTTTTCCGACATTAAATCGAGTGTAGGTGGGACTGGCCTCTAGGGTTTTGGGTGGGGTGTTTTTGAGTGTCATAACATCTAGGGCTCTTGGGGTGGCAATGGATCTGAGACCCGACGACAAGACCACACCCAGGTATGGGTATGGGTCCAAAAATTGGACCCGGCCGATCGGATTTGGGTCCAAATAGTGGTCCAATTGGGTCCGAGTCTAGGTCCAGTTGGGTTTGGGTCCATTCGACCGAGCCGATCCAACCATGGCTTCACTTGGTACACGTAATGGTTGACTTGGGGAATAGCTTACGCTGGTCATATCGTTAATAAAAAGGCGTCCCGACCCGTTTTATATATATGGAAAAAAAGTTATTGCAATATTAAAATTGTAAAATTAAAGATGCACTTCAAAAATCCATCGAAAAAGTTTGTTTTAATGTTGAAAAACTCTCTAATTGATCACCTCGACGTCGAGATGTATGAATATAAAAAAAGAAAAAAAAAAGATTTTGAGTCCCATAATTAGTGCATCTTAAGAATTTTTTACATAAAAATTACATGTTATGATAAAATTTAGAGGTGCACCTTAATTGGATTGTTTAAGGTTGCAACTTTATAAAAACCACACCCTTTATAAAGAATGCAAAAAAAATCACTTTATTGGCGGTGGTGTTTCAAAACTTGGATAGATGGAGCAGATAATTTACTTTAAAGATTCATATCATATTATTGGATTGGCGATCTAGATTGGTTTAAATCGAGGATTTTCAAACAGTATTGGCCAGGAAATATAAGGAGAATCAGAATCTTGATAAAATTTGCATTAGCCGGATGCAATTAGCTGTTTTAAGAAAATTCTCGAGGCAAGGCTCTCTCTTGGGATGATTCATTATATCAAGACCTTGAATATCATCTAATACAAGTAAGAACTTCTTGCCATCCAAAAGCCTTCGAAGTTCCTTTAGTATCTGATTCACGGTAGGAGGATACTGATGAGCAGAAGTCACCTGTGAACCGATGCGTCTTGCTATCATGTGCAACAAGCCAGCAATGGTAAGCTTTTGGGACACATTAATTGATCGAAATGATTGATTACCTCTCGATATTTCATGGCTTTCAGAGCGAGGGTGGTTTTTTCGACGCTCCCTTCTCCATCTAGATAGTTAATACAGGCTCCATTGCGACCTCCCTCATCTCGCAGAAGCATAGCAACCAAGGACTCCAGGTCGAGGTCCCTGTAACATGTATCTGGCAGATGAGACCGACACTTGAGATAGAGATCTCGGACTCTGCAACATTTATTGCTATGAATCAATTTGGAATGGGATTTGAGCATTTGGGTCAAGATCCAATTAAGCGTTTCGTTGATCATCTTGATTCTCTCGCCTATTTGGTGGCAAAATTTAGTGTTAGAGAAGGAATAAGGGCGGGTCTGTGTTTCTGCTTCTCTTTTGGCCTCTGCGATGCACTCAACCAACGTATTTTCTATTCCGCATCTCACATACCTAATGTTCTTCGACCAATCTTTCGGAGCTTCTCCTTCCGAATGCACCCTTCGAATTCTATCCAATTCGCTCCGAGCCGCTTCTAGCTGGATCTCGAGCCCCTCGAGATATTTCTCCAAATGCATTACGTAATAGGGATTGAGGCCTGTTGCCACCAAGGAGCTCAGCTTCAGTAGCAGTGATCTGACAATTAGTGGAGCCATTTTCTTCTGCTTGCTAGGCTTGTTCTTTGAGAAATTGAGAGAACCGCCCCCGCCCCGCCCCGCCCCGCCCTCTTGTCAATAACGTAACTCTTCCATCACCTCTACATATAATTTCATCGCCCGTGGTCGCCAAGGAATCTGCACATGCCTTGCAGCACACAAATTATTATTCCATGGAATTTGGTGTTCCATTAACACACCAAGTACATTATATAATACACAAAGTTTTTTGACAACTCGTTATAAAATACCTGTAGGTTTTCAAATGTACGGCAGTGGTGATGCTATTCGGTTCAATAGTTTGACTGCTAATTATTTCAATAAGCAAAGGGATTGTCTATGAAAAGACCATTTATCATTTATACACAGATGTCACTATCATTCTCACTTATTAGATGTCAAATTGGATGGCTTAGTGTGAGCCACTAAGTCTAAGATTTTTTATTTTTTTGGAACTCTGTGTTATTCAACGGCACTATTACTACCTCCCATCTTAAAATTTAATGAACAAGAATAATTATGACCTCTATGTATTAAAACTAAATATCAGTTATCATTTAAACATGGCGGCCACCATCATTCTCACTCATTAGATGTCAAATTCGAAGGTTTAGGGTGAGTCACAAAGTTTGAGATTTTTTTTTTGAGACTTTGTGTTATTCAACAACACTCTTACAACCACCCATTTTAAAATTTAAGGGACAAGAATGAATGTAACCTCCATGTACAAAAAAATAAACAGTATGTAGAGAGTTCAGCTGAGCTATATTAGTTGGTCATGAGTATGGTGGCCCCACATGGGCCCTACATGACCATTTTGTACATTTGGTCCCTTGGCCAAAGCACAAGAATTGTCTGACCAAGAACTTTATCAAAAATCTTGTTGCACCTTAGATCCATTAAAAACATGTAGTTTTTTACAACGTAATTAAGATCTAGATTTAGTTTCAATGTGGATTTCGATTTTGGGAAATTCTTTTAGCTACAAAATATTTTCCTAAATTGAACTTAAACTGTCCATTAGAATCCCTTTACCAGTGTATTGAAGCCGTTGATTTCGGACTCCGGTTGCCGACCTAAATGGAGATCGTTTTTTTTTTCTTTTCTTTAAAATTTAATTAATATTCTTTTAGATCCCCTTCATATCCCTACCTCTATTTTAATTTTTATTTTATTTCATTGATTTTTAACACCAATTCAAACCGATTCAGAAGCAATTCAACACAAACATGTGGGTGAACAATTCATTAATCCAAGTTTTGAAACGTTGAGCCTGACTAGGAGTCTGCCCCTCCTTAACCAAATGAACTATTGATCTGTTACTGAGTCAGGTCGGATCGATCTAGGTCCAAACAAAACTACAGTGCAAATAGGGGGGTTAATGGGTCCAGTCGGATCCAGCAACTTGGTTCTTAGTTGCATCCAAAACACCTGGACCTGTGTCAGATCTAGGTCGTTGGACCGAGCTTGACCCAAAGGGTCATGTACGGTCCATGTCTAGATAAAAGAAAAATAAATTTTATCATAATATTTTATAATAACTATTGCATATGTACATATATATTATATATAGATATTGGGTCGGGTTGTGATGGCTGGACATACCCGACCTTGACCCAGAACCATCCAAACTTGGTCAAGAGACCTAGAACTAGACCCCTCCCAAGTTGATACTTGATACCATCAGTCCTTTGGAATTGAACCGACCCACCCAGTCTAGACCCAAAGTTGTGTTTGATCAGTGGCACCGTTTCTTTATTCCTGAGTTTCCACTGAAGAAAATAGTGGAAAGTACAAACATGGTACAAGCATTTCACCATAAATCGATAAGTATCTTGGTGTTTAGTAAATTTGAACCAAAAACCTAGTATTGCTAAATATAGCCCGATAAACATTTCTTCTATAAAATTTATTAATGAGGAATGATTTCATACAACGGTTGTATAGTAGTATAATAATGCAACCACACATCTAGAAAACCATGTTTTTGGCATATGTATGACCCTAAAATTTGCACATATATTCTCTTCATCATCATAATCAATCTCACAAAAAAAAATCAATTTGTATCCTAGATACAGTCAAAATTAGTACCCTCCAACAATGAATCTCGATCGTCCATTTAGTGTATTTCAAGATCTAGGCTTTAACAAAATTCATAATCACTTTTTTCTTATTTAGCATTGTTAATCTAATGATGACAACGCTTTATAAAAATTTTGGAAATAAAAAATTCCTTTTGAGGCCTATATCTAACCATCTAACTAAAATGGACGGCTTATATTTATTGGACTAGAATAAAATTCCTTTATTG